GAAAATTTAAAAGCACAAATAAGGCTATATTAAATCACGTCATATCGAGTTCATATAGCTTTCATAGATTTATGAGCCTCGGTTCATGACTGCCGCTTGTCTTCCGAACGTCAGAGAAGTATTACCTAATGGTTGATTGATGTTAGGCAAAAATATAACGTCGATACAATATTATAATATTTACAATTTAAATATGCCAAATTAATAAAATGAAATGTATCAGGTTGGTTAATTTAAATAATATGATTATAATGAATACCGTTTATGATAAAATGCTAATAATGGTTCCTTAGGTGAAAAAATATACGGCATAAAATTGCTTAACGGTAATACGTAAAATTTTTTTTTAATATATATCTAAGTTTCATACATGTAAAATATTATGAAGGTGTGAGATGTCTTTTGGTTTGTTACATTTTATTTTTGAAAAAAAATAATCAAGGTACGATATAAATATTTATTGTTTGTTTTATATACAAGTCTAGAAGAATTTTCTACTCGTTTCAAACAATAAATTAACAATTGGAATTAAGTAGTTTTTAATTATTAATTATTCTATTAGAAACCTGACTTTTCCTGTTATGATTTTGACTGATTCCTGTTTTATGTTCTCAATTATAAGTTAAACATTTTTTATTAATGCTTTTAAGATTGGCATTTGCACAGGCTGGGAAATATTACAGTGACCGTTTGCTTCCTTTTAATTGCAACCCTTTGAATTAAGTATTTGCATTATGTTAGATGCTATTTATTCGGGTAAAGTGTGTTCAGTTAATATTTATACTATAACAATAATATTCACAGTTATATTGTATTTATTTTATTATACAAATTTAAATAAAAGTATAATTAAAATTAATACATAATGAAGTAATCAAACATATAATGAAAACTTATGAATCTTGATAATCAATTCACATTACGCAAAGGCTGGCTTTTAAATATTTCATAATATATTTAATGACCGTAATAATAAAGACACTATTAACAAAAGTGAACAATGTAAAATTGCTTTGTTTTTTTTTTATTGTGTAACAAAGGAGAGACTTGTAAACAAAGCAAGTGTACTCAGTCCTGAGTAAACAGTTCATAAGGAAACCTCGAAAGAAGTACTCACTTAGCTCCTCTCATGAGCACATGAGAACCAAACATGTGTTGATACTTGGTTCCTTACGATTAATTTAACACTAGAAATTATTTGGTTGTGAACCCGGTTTAGTTCATTCAGGTAGAAATACGAAATTTAATGTAGAACATACATATATACGTAGATTGAAATATGACTGCATTGAAAATCATAGAGCTATTTCAGTTATTTTATTTATGTTAATAAATCAAGCTATTTTTTTATATTATATAAAAAAACAAAACAAAATTGAATGTTAAGAGATGTATTTAAAAAAAATATATAAGTATACATATGTATTTTAAGTGTCATGCTTTTTATATCGGTATTCGATTAACTATGTCTTGTTCTATATATTTAGAGTAATCAAATAAGTGTGTTAGATATATTTGTCTTATTTATCTTTATGTTCAGATGTGGTGTGCTGTCTGGTGTGCCCTGATGATGGCTGGCAGCGTTTGGTCAGAGACGGTACCATCTACCAACGGCATGGCCCAGCCCATCGACTGGGCGCAACTTGATTCATCCTTACCAGATGATGTGAGTAACTAATAATCTATATATATAAAAATGAATTGCTGTTCCTTGGTCTCACTAAAACTCGAGAATGACTGAACGGATTTATCTTATCATAGTCTTGAAATAATTGTGGAGGTTCAGGGAAGGTGTAAAAGCTGAATTTTTTTTATTAATTTCCGGGAAAACCCTAAAAACAGCGTTTTTTTATTTCCCATACAAACGGTTTTTTGACATTAGATTTGACAACTAACTAATATGTCAATCATTTTGTCGCACTTCAGAACTTAGAGATTTATGGCTTAAAGGTAAACACCAAAAAAATAAATAAGACATAATTTATTTCTGCCGGGTCAGCTAGTATATGTATATATAATAATAATATACATACTAAACCTTACTAATGGTGAAACAAAGAAGAGAAATATAGTATTGGTCATATATAAATATTTGTCTGTCATTAAGGTTGTGAGAATTTTAAATTGTTTTGTATAGTACTAGTAAATCTTCTTCTACCTGGCAATTTCCCAGCTATAACCAGTGTCTGCCTTACATGTTGTGAATAGTTTTGGCTATTTGTTTTTACGACCGGCCGCCTGCCTGACATCAACCCTCTTTGGCAATCAGCATTAATTAGTGATGTCTAAATACTCTTAGAAAGTAATTATGAGTCGGAAAAATCATATTGGTACTTGCCCGGACCAGGATCGAACCCGCGCCCTCTTGCATGAGCTACGGGGCTTTTAACCACTAGGCCACCACTGACTTCAAACTGTATAGTACCTACTAGTAAATATGGCTACAAATATGTATTTCAGATTCATATTAAGATAGTAATAAAATGTTTGGTGAATAGATATATCATATAAAGCATCATTTTCAGTATTCTGTACTATGCATATTTATTTGACTAAACGTTGCCACTTTATACATTTGAAGAGCTAACATTATGAGGAAAACGTGCAATTTTTACGATCATCGCTTTATCTTATTTGCATAAGGATTTTCTTCAGCCATTACCGATTCTTTTTCAGAACCGCTATCTTCGAACATAACTGCCACTAGCTGAACTTATCTCGCGTTTTTTACTGAAGTGTTTTGAAGCCATTTATATCGCCATCAAAAATTTTATACAATAGATAGATACCGCCTAATAACCTTATATAGTAGTCAACCCAAATCATATGTCAAAGTTATCATTTGATTCGAAGTTCCATACTCCTATAGAACAAGGGTTCGGTCTAAACATTCTATTAATTACTACGATCTGGGATTTCATAATTATCGGATTGTGTAATATGTTCAAAGAAATACAATATATAATACATCAACTCAATACATTTTCCCGTCAGTTTAACTTAGGAATAAAGTGATGTAGAAGACGAATTGACATCTAGAAATTTACAATTGGTCATATAGAATATATTCAATACTACATTTTATCGTGTATTTAAGTTATTGTTTAATTGATAGATATAAAGAAAATTTGAAGAGTTAAAAAAGAATCTCAATAAAGTTTAAAGAGACTAATTCGTCTAAGAAGTTCTTAATTTTGTACGAATGAAAAAAACTTCTCAATGAGATTGTTTACGGTATTGAAAAACTTGGTCATATTTATGTAAATGAAGTAGAATGGTATGATGTTCTTCACAATCAAATACTATTAGTATACACACAATAAGTACGTCTATAGCAATTACAAGCTGTTTCTATACATTGAAATTTGATTCATCTAGACGTTGAAAAATACTTGGGTCTGTAGCTTCCATTATTAGAGTATTAAATACTCTCAAATCAAGCAAATATTTCGCTATGATTCATTAGATTTTAAACAACTTTTAGCCATCCGAATAGTGGGAAATAATTAATTTTATTACAGAGCAACTTAACAGACGCGATCTGCTAACAATTGGTGTACCTTTAAAATATCTTACATGTAAGGCGGAACTTGACTAGAAGAAAGGTTAATTAAACTTCTTCACTCAGAGCTAGTTAGGGAACTGTTTTAGAATTCTACCCACAAAACTTGAGTTTCAGTTAAAAGTTCGCAACTATACTTTAAAAAGATGATCACTGTTTTAACTTTAGTGTTAAAGTTCGCTGGTTAAAATATATATGTTTTTTAAGGAAAGTGTAGCCTACGCGTCTCCTATGGGCGGCCGCTATGCCAGCGCACCCTGGGTTTACCTGTTGGCTGAAGTACCAAGAGACACGCAGGTAATATATTTGTAGCGAGAATCTAAATAACACTACATTAAATTAAATAAAACCAAATACGCCACTTATCATTGTCAATCGAAACTTGCAAAACGAAAGCTTTGGTCATAAGAACTATGGAAAATTGACATATTTATTCGTTGAAAACTGTCGTTATAGTATGAATAACTTTTTTACATTATTTTGCACACTTTCCAAGTCTATGTAAATATGCACTAAGAGGAGTATTATTCAAATAGAAATTCACAGCTATTCATTCTTGAAAAATGGTTTATTCTTTCTTAGAAGTTATATAAAGTATACCTAATTTTAAAACTAGAAGTTGTCAATTCTGATTTTCAACTTGCAATCATTGTATTTATTAGCAGCGTGTAATTATCTCATCGTAAAGGACGAGACTCGTGTAATTACGTCACAGAGTTTAACAAATAATTAGATACGGTTGATGTCAAATTTAAACGTTATATTGCAAGCATGGAGTATAAAATCATAAAATGGCTGATATTCACAAACATTTCCTTTAAATTTCACTTTAAAATTTATGTTCCGAGGAAATGAATGCATAGCGCAAAACTTACATTCGGACAACATGACGGATTATTTTGAGTAAACGTACGGAGAATAAAATATGCATGGAGGTTTTATGTGAAGGTTTATATATGGTGTAAAGGTTTCGGGTAATGAGAACATGCTACGTAACCGGCGCAACCTGTATGTGTCCGTGAACCCAGCCGTGGAACTCTTACAACGGGAGGCTTACAACAACTATCTAGAGAGACAAGCTCACGCAAATCGAGATTTCCTCAACTGCGTTGGAAAACGAGGTTAGAACACACAAATTTAATCGTATATTTAAAAATAAATACTCTTATTAAACTAAATTTAATACTTCTATTCTTTCTTCCATAGATCCGTGGAACAGTCCAGATTGCAAACTGATGAATTGAAATACCTGCACCGAAGACGTTCGCCCCGTGATCTGCGAGTGCTTTATAATTTAATTAATTGTTAATCTCACTTAATTATAAACATTGTTATGAAATAAAACATTAAAGAATAATTAAAAATTACTTTTATTTTCATTCTAACCCATTATAAAGAAACGTTCGAATGTCTAAATGACTATTAAAATGTTTATTAAATGATTGAACCCGTAAAGGGTAAATCGGAACGCGCTAAGCGTCGTATGCCGATGTTGTCCATCGACCTGCCGATGTCTCTTCTCCGGGAGAAACTGAACTTGGAGAAGGAGAGGAAAGTCCACGCTCAGCTTGCCGCAGCCAATAGAAACTTCCTCAACAACATCGGAAAACGTGGTAACATAATTATATAACACATCAAAACAATACTATACATTCTATTCTATTCCATTGCAATGACTAAATCTATTCTTTCTTTTCATATAATTTTTTTATCACATATAATTACAAATACTAAGTTTTTGTTAAACTTAGTTCTAGCAAATTTTATGTTTTATATTGCAGGCTGGAGATCGTCCGAGGAAATGGTTAAATATTAAAAAAACAATTAATTCAATTCTCTCACGTGTTGGGCACGATCTCAAAATTGTTATGATGGCTGTTGTATAAGATTTTCGGTTCTATAATAAATTATAGTATTCTTAATAAAAATTTAATATTCTTTGTTCATTAAATTTCAAAATAATATGATACTTTGTATAATACGTTATTAATATTACAAAACTTATTGTTATTAATAGTTGTTGCTATAGATTTATGATATTTTTGTTATTAATAAGAATTAGTTGATAAGATGAATATTTATTACCTGAAATGTTACTTAAGAAAATGAAATAAAGGCTGTTTTAATTAATACTTGATTTTCACTAAATACTTACCTACCTAAATACCCTCACTATGTACTGACATATATTCTTAAATAATAATAAATATAAATTAAAAGTATTATTCATAGTAAACATATGCTATACCTTAGCATTGTTCCTAACACTTTAAAACAAGATTTATTTCAAGTTTAAATTGGAAGACTTTGGAATTTGTTAGTAATTTATTTTGTTACCGTCCCATAAATTTAAAGTTGGATGAGAGTTCGATGAAATATTAATTAAAATAAACGATTATATTTTAGTAAATTCCGAACTGATTTAACTAACACAAACAAATATCTCCGTCTTAATTAGCTGAATGTTTTGATACAACGCTACTGTGATGAAGATAAATATTGTATCGTATGTGGTTATGAAAACTAACAGCTTACAACAATCTCATACTTGATGTATTTGACTGGACATATATAGAAAACAAATCTCTACACGCGACAGTCCGTTAATTAGCCATATCGTTGCCAAATTCATTATTAAATAATACATTTGTTATTTTCGATAGAAATGAAAACGATTAACAGAATAATAATCATGAAAAAGTTCGCTCGACGCTATTAGTATGATAAAAAACTAAAAAAACCAAAAGGATTACACAGACCTAAAATATGCGAACACATACTTCGTTAGCATTATGCAAATGACACTAAAACGTTAGCACAGATATGGATTATAATTAGCTGTTTCAATATAATTTCTTTATTAAGATTTAAAAATTCAATTTCATTGAATATTTTTGTGTTTTCTTGTCTCAGAGATATCCCGATCTTCGCGAGGGTCGTTCGAGACCGAAGCGTAAGATGCCGTCTCTGTCTATCAACAACCCTATGGAGGTACTCCGTCAGCGGCTCCTGCTGGAAGTGGCTCGTAAACAGATGCGTGAAGCCAACCAACGGCAGGCCGTCGCCAATAGAGTCTTCCTACAGAACGTTGGCAAACGAGGTGATTACCGAAATTGAGAATTAATATCAAGTGTATTAGATGTCATATTCATTTAAATAAATCTAAGATTTTCGGATATACTTCGCGTTTTTTATTATTTTTTTGTCATCGCGTCTGCCCGTAATCACAATTGCTGTTAAGGAACCCTAACTTCGGGAGTATGAAGTAAAATAATAAACGCCTAATAAATCCGATAATCTTAGTTTTCTTTCTATAAGATGCTATTCCCTTGGAGCAGATGTAAGCAACTGTGTAGCTTCAGATACAATAAAAACAATAATTACATTCTTAATTCATCATCATTGTATAATATTTAGGAAATATAGGTCTTATCTGAACACTCGTAGAAATCTATAATGTTGCCTTAACAACGGTATAATTAATATCTGGGATCTTATAAGATTTTTTGTTTGTTTGTTGTTGTTTGTTGGCTAATTCAGGCAGAGTAGCTAAAAAATTAGGGAGAAATTTGACTTGTAAGGTTTTTTTTTTAATATCATCACGTGAAGCGAATTCTTAATTATTTTATCCATTTCCAATAGAATTTCGGAACTGTATCATTTGTATGATCTTGGAAGTTTACAATTCAAATTTCATATGGAAAAGAAGCGTATAAAGCCATTTTCTTAAACCAAAATTTTTAATCAAATAAACCAAAGAAAAAAGTAAAACATTTAATTAATTCGATAAAGCATTACACATTTACCATGACGTTGACACACATATAATACGTCAACTGTGAAGATTCCTCAATGTGTGTATTGTCACTAAATGTCAAACATAATGACATTTCTATTCAACAAATGAATTAGACATAATCAAGTACTTATTATCGACTATTAGGCGATATTTAGTAATATTAACTGCATTAATATATGCAATTAAACATTTGTGGAAACAAGAATGATATTAAACTTTATAAATTATAACATATCTTGTTAAAATCTTAGTCTACATTTCCTTATGGCCTATGGCAATAGATAACATATAAAAGTTTAACTTTCCGCGTAATTGTCGCTTCGAAATCATTCCACGAATCTTTGAAGACTTCTGATTGTAAGAATCGTGTTTATGATTCTTGTTTTATACTTATTTTCATTTTAAGACAAATTTAACGAGAAATTATCATAGTACAAGTGAAAAAGTTTGTAATTCACAATTAAGTCCAGTTAAAAAAAAAAATTGTATCTCAATCAGAAACTTTCAAGGGTAATTTCGACTTAATTAATAAGCGTAATTTGCTCAGAGATCCTTTGAAAAGTATTTTAATTATGTTCAATACTATGTATATTATATGAATCGTTTTATTTACCAGGTTTTTGGGGAGATTCTGGGTCCTTTCGCTACGACAACTAAAGATTTTAGTTCCGCATGTCAAGCAATAGACTGCGACAACCACAAGTCACCCTAAGAAGAACATACCTGACAATTACATGGTTTATTTAATATTTAACAGAGCAGTATTATTTTGTTGTCTTACTTTTAAGCAATTAATTTAATATTCAAAACATTTTTGGATCTGTTCCTATCAAAAAACCTTATGGTCCTTAAATTTATTTTTTAATCTGTGTGCTTGTTTTGTAGTGAATTCCTATGAGCTCGATGTAACAAATATTTAACATTATTTATATAAAAATCAAAGCTTAATTAGTGTAGATAATATTTTGTGCCAAAATATTACGTTATTAATGTTTACACCGAATTTAGTTACTATTTCTATAATAATATTAGTAATAAAATATTTAAAATCTTATAAAGAAAATTATCTTCTAAATTAATTTTCGTTATGTTAGATATGTACAGAGTAGCTGTTACATGTAAATTTTTTTTCTTCGTTTCCTTAATATTCTTTAGCTTAAACGTAGGCGATTGTAATTGTAACATTATTACTGTTTTATTGAAATATAAATTGCGTTCAATAAAATCGTTACATTATTATTTATTGTTTCCTTTGGGATCCTTGATAAGAAAATCTATAATAAAAAAAACAAATAATGACAATTCGGTAGCCATTTTTAATTTTTAAACTGTCATAGTTTACGTTCTAAAAATGTTTCAGTTAAATATTCACATTGCTCATTTTGTCTTTGATGTAACATTCTAGTTTGTAGAATCAAATAACGCCTTAGAGTCAATATAGTCTCGTTAGAGTAAATAGCGTTCCAAAGCTTGGTTCATGTTGTATATTTTCCGAAATAGTAATAAAATTTAATTCATTAGAAAGTTTCTTTTTAATAGCAAACTTTCAACTAAATATTTGAGTCACGATTAAGTTTTTTTTTATATCAAAGTGATTTCATCCTTTAATTCTAACTATTCAGAATATTTTGTTTTATAGGGGAATTCCAAAAACCACGAAGGTTGCACATGTATTAGAGTTGTTGGCATTATTATGATAATCTATGTCCATACTAAGAAATTATTATTATACATAGTATGTACCTATTAGATTATTTTTAGGTTAGGAAGACTTTTAAACCGGCACTTTAATTAATAAAAACGTTAGTATTGGCATAAAAGTTGACAATTCCAGTGTGAATGAATCCAAAGCATGACAATGCTAAAAAAAAACAAGTATTACGTAGTATCAAAAACCTATTTTACGTTCTTACTGTGAGAGGTCTATAAATTAAGTACGTAGTGCTACCTAGAACATAGCATTGAAACAAGAACAGAAATTAACTCATCCTTTGTTGTGACTATTGACTCTTAGACTCTTCATTTACGTGGAAACTGTTTGAGTTTCTTGTGCTTTGACAATTTGTTATGATCTACGATAATAATAATAAGTATAATATATTAGTATTGCTTATTATTAATTAATTATAATACTATCATTACACTATATGTATGTATATAATAGTACTTACAAATATTATCTAAGCCGTGCATGCAATACACGATTGCATTTAGGATTGAACACAATTTTTTTATTATTGAAACTAACTGACATCCCGCTACCTTAAATATTTTTGAAAATAATGACGTCACATAAATTTGACTTCCTATTTATTAGCAAGGTTTGAAGTGAATCGTTAATTGTAATAAAGAAACCTGAGGCCAACATGAAATATATAAAATATACACTATAAAGACTTCGATCTATATGATTAACCTAAAGCATCGCTACACTATCTATGAAGCATTAAGTTTGTCATTCATAAATCTATTGATTATTAAATGAGAAATGGGAATCGCTTCGTATGTAGTGTACAGATACAAAATTCTGCTAAACATATTATTATTATCTGTGGCACATCTAAACATATTATTATTATCTGTGGAACATAAAATTTTAAGATACGTTTTCGTTAATTTCCGTGGCAAAATTATAATCAGCTGCTCTACTATTTTTCAATATGAAATTTTATATATAAATGGTCGATGATAATGTTTTTTTATTATCAACAGTAAACTGAATTACTTGGTTTATTGTTGAAATTCGTGTCTACAAAGACGGTAACTCGAGTTTCGAAACTTCTAAAGTAACCATCAAAAATAAATAACAATGATTGTCACTTGATTCTCGTTCATAAACCGATTCATTACATGTACTTAATTAATTTAATTTGAACTTAGAATTACATATCAAGATGTTTTTTTTTAATTCGTCATTTTAGACAGGCGAAGATCTTAGACCATCCTACTCATTAATTTAACAATGTACAAATAAAGTCTTGTTGAATTGTAAATATACATACTTCTTAGTAAATTGTTATATTGTATTGACACATAAATTTCCAGTTCAAAAGATTGATGTCCATACATCGGTCAGGGAAATACCCTTTAACGTCAATTTTAATGTTTCATACACATATAGTAATCACGTTTTGCATACAACATTGAAAACCACAAATTCACAAGCTATAATGCAACATAATTCTAACGGACACAATGTCGATAATAAATTGGGTCATTTATTGTATAGACACGCTTCAAGTACTTTAAATATATGGATATATTTTATACTTGCTAGTTGCTATCCTAATACAGTGTTCTATGTTGTAGATGTGTAGTCAAAAGCTAATGCTCCGAGTGGTCTTGGATCTCAGTGTTAATTAAAGGTGATTTCATTTTGAGCGGGCTGCCAAGCCATATGATTTCATTACTCACTCGACACGTTCCGGCTGGCAAAGTGCCGTTTACTTTTATTTAATTACTTTATTAAAAAATCATTATGTTTCTAGCTATTTTTATAATTACGATGACATTTCTTTATATTCTAATGATGTTATTAATCAATAGTATTAGTGCTAAGTTAAACTATTTCTCATATTATATCTGAATTTTAAAACATATTTTTCTATCGATTTATAAGTTTTATTTTTCTGATTTTTTTAATATTCCCAATTAATACATTCAACTGTTACTTTGAACATATAATAACTTTGTAATTTGTAATTTAATACGTGAATATTTCGTATAAGATTAATTTTAAACTATGAGAGATATGTCTTAAATGAAATACCAAACTCTCATACAGTCGTGAACTCGATACTTGTATATTATTCAATGAAGTTTAATTTTAGCTCTACACCTAAATTTGAAACTGAAGTTTGAAAGTTTGTCTGTCGAGACGAAAAAGCTCATATTGTTAAGAAACACGCGACTTAGAGAGTACAGACTTAAACTTTTATCTCGGGAAGCCAAAATTCACAAGTTGCTCGCGACTACATTTAGTTTAATGCTTATAAGTTAATATAAGTATTCACTGAAATTAAGCAGTACTTAGTAGTAGTTTAAATGGCAACACTTACAATTTCAAAGTTATTCTTTTTTTAAAAGGCAATGCTTAATTTGAGAAGTATAAAATTACATTTTTATTTACACCGCAAATAGGTGAAGTAAATTTATTTGCTTTCAGTTAAACGATAGAAAATATTTATAATTTAAGACATCATAAAATAAACGTATGTCTATCCATACATTATTACACAGATCCTTTTCGTTATAATTTACTTAAAGAAATCGATTTTAACATGCAAATTAAACGTGGTATACAGCACTTATAATGACATTTTTTAAGTAGACGGAGCGCCCGTGAACCTATCAACTTGTGTTTTGACAGATGTACAGACTCATTTGGGAGATTGGTACATGATTGGAAGAGGATTTTTTCAGACGCCGATTGAAGATTTAAAATATATATCCGTGAAGAGAAACCGTATTTCTATTCAAATTATTCTATACTTGCTAAGGTGTGGGTGGATTTGATTATACAATGGATTTCAAATTATTTAAATTTGGCATTATAATTAATTAACCTTTTTAAATACACATAAATACCATACCATATAAATTACGTTTTATTATAAAAACCGACATACCTAATTTTTATTTAGTGAACATAATTAATGATATTCTAAAATATATTTTTTTATATTGCATCATTTTGAGATAGAAAATATACAAAATAATCAATTTTCTTTATAAGCTATTATGTATATTTTCGATACTTAGTTATTAGTTTAAATAGTAAACTATTATACATTAAATTTATTTTTAAAATAAATATTTATAGAGATTTCAGTTTGTTAAACTTTTCTCATTGACGTTAAACTGCGATTTACTTTAAATGGATTTCTTCGCGAAAGTTTTAATAATATTTCTAAGTAGAAGAAGAAAGTATTGTAACTTATGTAGTAATTTTTTTGTTCGAAGTATATTTACTTATTATTCTCTATTCTTCTTATTTCTTTTCTCCAATCTAATGCAATTATTCTCTTCCTAGTTCTGTTTCTTTCTCATTATAGTAAATCTATGATATATGCTAAACTCACCACCTTTTTCTTGTCACTAATACTTTGGTTATTTATTTGGTTTTATGTGATTTTTTTGTATGCTTCTAAACAATATTGCTATCCTTATTTGATATTACATATTAAATATATATTCCTTTTACGTGCATTGTCAATAGTGAAATTGAAATTTGAAATCGTAAAACATTCATTTCAAACAGAACTATACTTCTTATCTTCTTCTACCTGGCAATTTCCCAGGTTTAACCAGGGTCTGCCTTACATGCTGTGAACAGTTTTGGCTAATTGTTTTTACGACCGGCCGCCGCGCCGGCCTGACATCAACCCTCTTTGGGAATGCATTAATCAGTGGTGTCTAAATACTCTTAGAAAGTACATATGACTCGGAAAAATCACATTGGTACTTGCCCGGGCCAGGCCACCACTGACTTTTAGAGCTACACTTTTTATATATGTACAATAACAATTATACGGAAATACAAGTCATATTTATAAAGTAAATAATTTAGATGGTATTTTTTAATCTTTCCTTAGTAAAAAAATAATACAGCTAAAAACTTTAATTCTTTTTAAAACTTTATTATATTATGTAGTATG